GGGGTGGGAGGGGGTGGCGTGCGACGCGCAGCTGGCACGATAATCCGGATTAAGTCAGCGTTCAAATGCCGACACAATTAAAACGAGATTAGACTGGGATTAGCGAAGTGGTCGATCTCCCCCCCTCAGTTGCCACCCCCTCCCTTCCCACACCCTTTTCACCCCGTTCACGGGGTCCCGTTACAAATTGAGCGAGAAGGATGACACCGCAATTTTTTAATTACTACTGAGAAAAAAATCCCCATTTCCTATTGATTAAATGGAAATTGGTACGATTTTCGAGGATTCTCGAAGTTTTAGAGCTCCGCTTTTTGGATTTATCTCGGAATCTAGGGGAGATAGAGCGATTGTGATCGAGTACTTTTTTGTGGAGAATTCAATTTCCTGGAAAAAAGGTCGAGTTGACGACATCCCTATCTACGTTAGATCGCGAGATAATGACCATAAACTGACTCGTTTTCCTTTTCCATTCGACTTGACTCGAGTTCTTATCCATTTCACTGTTCAATCGTTAATTAGAGGATTTATTAAAGTGGATAATTACCGTTGGGCACTGTTGGTGGTTTTTTCGTCTGCACTCGAGCCGTTGCGTTGTTCACCTGTGAATTATCACAAAAAAATCAATTAGCAAAAATTCAAGTGTCGGAATTATGAAAAAGATTCGTAAATGAGTCGATCTTTCATCACTGTCCGTCAAATTACTCCGGAAAACTCATTTACGAGTCTTATTACGGATAAATTAAACTCAAAATTACATTCAGGTATTCAATAAAGAAATCTCAATTTTTCTGTCAATTTTTCTGTAAAATTTTGAAAATTAAAAAGCGAATGCTCGATCCATTTCTGTCCGTAATTTTGAGTTTTCAGAGGTAGAGACTCTCAGAGAAATTATTTTAGTGTAACCTAAACCTCTCAGACTTCGTCTCAACGCCCATACAAATCCCCATGTTTTGTGAATTAAAAATAATTAATGCTCAGTCTTCTTTCAGTTTTTGCCGGGGGTAATTGAGACGAAATTTGGGAAATCCGTAGAAAATACAATTTTAATCCATTTTCCATTGAAATGAACACAGACCTGTCCTCCAGTACTTCCCCTCATTTGCACTCTTTTCAAAAATTTTGGCATTTCAATTCCACCAATAAATTCCAGCTAAATCAAAATATGCGGTGAAATTCCGTTCTAAATATTTTTCAATTCGATTCAAAAATTTCCATGGGATTATGAGATTTTTATCATTTTTTTAAATTGGAAAAAAATTATTTTATCACGGAGATTCCAATATTTTCATTCACTCGATTTACCACTGATTATTCCAAACGACTGCAATTTTCTAAAATTGGTTGGGACCTCGTCTTGCAATTAAAAGGGTCACAAATTCGATTAATCTCAAAGTGAGTATCGATTCTCGAAAGTACTGGTAGGACAATGGGCTGTGCTCGCACACGAGTATTAAAATAATTACTAAAATTACTATAGATCAATGGCACTCGCTTGCCCGATGGAGAGGCACTCAATTCCCCGAAGTAATTACTCCCCCGAGAGAGAAATATTCATTAAAAATAACGGAACAATTAACGCAATCTGCAATAAAAAATTTCCGCCAACTTTTTCAAGAAAAAAAAAAGGTTCTCCAAATGGAGATTTTATTTCTACAGAACAAGTGAATTTTTGTGAAACTCCTCGAATTATTGTTTCTGCAAAATGAAAATGTTAAGTACTCACTAATAATTATTTTGATGAATTTAAACGAAATGAAAAATTGCGGGGCGATTCGTGTAATTCCTTCAACTTTTTATTGAATTTTTCTCCGTTTTCATTAGTATTTCATTAAAGTCCGTGGGAAATCCTTGTTTTTAGAGTGCGTCTCACATCTGGCTCTTGTCACGTGCACAAAATTACAGCGAAACTCGTCTGAAGAAAAACAATTCATCTTCAGTTTTTCCATTTTTCTCATTTCGTAGGTGAAAAATTTCTCCTGACGAGTCTCAGTTGTTATTAATTCTACCGCAGTACTACTAAACTAACCTGAAGTATCCTCGTACAGTGAATAATTACCTCAACTACTCAATAAAAATAATAAAATCAGGAAGTATTCAAAAACCTCGAAATTGGTAATCACTCACAACTTGCACTTTGTAATTCGTCTCTATCTTCGAAATTATGGATTCTAGGATTTAATATCCTGAACCTTTATCCTAGAAAATCAAATGCCCGGTGTAAAATCTCTTATCACTTTTCCTCGTAACTCCCATCATTACCGAGATAATCCCCCTCTTCACTCATTTTTCACATCTCTGAAAATTGATTCATCGAAATTTTAGTGTTTTCGTCACGTCGCGGTTTCCTCGAAAACGTGTGAAGATAGATGAAAAAGTGAAAAGATTTTATCAGTGGAGAATTAAATTTCCAAAAAAAAAGTTCCTTGTGGTATTCCATCGTAAATCCTTTCAGTACCAAGATACAAGGGTTTAAAGGGGGAAAATCTGGGAGAGTGGACTAAATTTATTTGATCCTGCAATTTTAATTACTAGGCACCAGGGGTAGATTTCTAAGTGCATCTGCATCATCTCCTAGAAATGAAAAGGGTCTATACGCTTTGTGGGTCACAAGTGTTGAGAATGAGGTGCACAGAGGGAAGTGGTGTATGTGGTGGGTTAAAAGAGGGTTCTACTCTTTTTTTTAATTATTTTTCCTCCTCGAGTAATTCGACTAACGAACTATACTTGATTTAATTAATAAAGTGATTGATTATTTATGACTTTCATCCGTTTTTCAATGAATTCTCGTTTATTGGAGGATTTTTTGTTCATTTTCTCGTTCCTCTTTTCGTGTCTTTTATTTTCCCCGGTTCTCGTGTTTTTTTTTTGGACACGCACTGTTGTCCCTAGGACAAACACCGGTCATCGGGATTTCCCCTTTTGTTTACCCGAGAACATGATGATCAAGCAGATTGCAAACCCACGATTTGTCCAGGAAATAATACCCTTTTTTTTTCTTTCATTTCCGTTTTTTCGCGTTTCTTTGATTGAGAAAAATTGCAACGAAAGGTTTTGAATTTGCATTTTTCTTTCAACATTAGGAATTGTTCCTTCACGATTCTAACCCCTTTCTATACCTTGGATGACTTAATTAATCTAATTAACAGTTGATCAAGTCGGTGGAAATATTCCAATGAAAAGTTTTATCGAGACCCGAGGGTGAGTGTTTATCAGAGCCCTCAAAATCTTGACGGCGTGAAATTTGTTAGGGAGAAACTTGGATGAAATTTCGTGGGTAAACCGAAAAGTAAGGGCTTCAGGGGGTGGTGGGAGGGAGAGGGGGGGGGATGATAGGGGTAGATGCGGGTGGCAAAATCTGCATTAATTTGACTTGCTAAGCCCGACAAACTCGAGTGGGAAATGTTCGGAGACGACGGGGTCGAGTGGATGGACCAGGAAGTGAGGGGTAAAGGGGATGGAATGAGGGGGAGGGTATGTAGGGTGGTACTTAGTATCACAGGGGTTGGCCAGAGGTCGTGCACTCGAGTAAGAACTGAGTTAATGACAAAAATAAGGGATTTTTATGATTTTTTCTGGTGAGAAAATAATCCGAAAATGAGTGTCGGATTGGGGGGTGTTTTATCTCGGTACTGGGGGGTTCTAGTGGAAAATGAGAGAAGAAACTTTAGTGGGGAATTTAGTTACCTAAAAAAAATGTCAAGAGGCATTTTTTTTCTAGATCTACTCGTTCGCGAGAAAAATGGGGGGATTTTGGAAATGATGGAATTGCAGAGTTTGGGTGTTGGTTGGGGATTTTGTTTGACTCGAGGATTTTTTCCCCTTCATGTTTCATCGTTAATTGTCTGGGGTCAGGGTCTTAACGGGGCGATAAAAGGGGAGGGGAGAGGAAAAACATTATTTCCATCATTTTTAATGCCGATAAATCCAAAATGATTTACAGCAATGTTCTCTCATGGTTATTTAACTCGTGACCTGGACACTAACGGCATTTTACGATTTAACCTCACCCTTACGACACGTGAAGGGTGAAGTCCGTCGAAGCACAAGCATGAGCTTTTCGTGTCCATAATTCACCCGGAAATTGGAGCTTAACTACTGAATTCGGGAATAAAAAATGACGGCCGACATATTACCGATAATTCCGTCACTCCGGTATTTAAAAAAGTCATTTCCCGCTTTATTATTTTTTTTATGCATGACTCGTAATTAATCGGCCGTCAATTAATTCAATTTTTAATTCTTTAAAATATGTCTCGTGACGTGATCTTTATTATTTTTAATTTTAATTTTTTTAATGGTTTATTGAACCCCAGAAAAAATAATAAAATCTGGTTATAGTTCATCCCAAAGATTTTATCTTGCTAACTCGTTGGCATATTGAATATTATGTATCAACTTTTCAATAATGCACAGCTCGCTACGAAAATGGAGAACTCAATTAGCAAATCGATTAAATAAACAAGGATGGATACTGAATTGCAAGAGGACCGGTTTAACCCTATGATAATCCCCTCGCGTTCGAATTCCCATTGAATAATGTTTTCTGGACTAAACCGGGACTTAATTAATAATCGATTTTCCCACCCACTTTATTATTCTCCGACAATATCACCCGCAATTTTCACGGTCACGTCAGACTGCAATTTCTTATCACGAACATTTGTCGTATTCTTTTAAAATGTGTGATAAAAAAAACAATCATTAGCCCTAAAAAGAATTTTAATATTTTTCACACTGGACTTAAAACTCAGTGCGAAAAATATAAAACCCATTTTCCCAATATTCTCGAGAAAACTTAACAGAAAAATGAGGAAAACGAATTGAAAATTCGCAGTAAGCACAGATTTATCTCGAAAACTAACGATTTCAGGAAAAATTGTTGAAGAACTTATTTGTAGCTAATTAAATTTTCGAGGTAAAAGGTCTTTTGACATTTCCTCGGAAAATCGCTATATTTTTCCAATCAAGCGATTTTCTCGTCGCGTGAAAATTTCGGTATAAGTAACTCTTTCAATATTTATTTTAAAAAAATCTACCGATCCGATTCTATTGGAATTTTCAGGAGATCTTCTCGAGGACTGAAAGAACATAACCCTAAAATTTCAAGATCTTTCAGTAATTTCTACGGTCGATATCTTAACGATTTCCACCGGAACACGTAAAAACACTACAAAGAGTGTTCATTAGTGTAATACCGGGGTGGAATTGACGCCATTGCATTTGCACCAGCAGTTTTAAACCCGTCAAAGGTCGAGCGTGTGCCCGAATAAAAGCCTACGATTTTTTTTTCCCAAAACCCAACCTCCGGTCCTCCATTATCGCGTTCCTCCTCGTTTCCCGATTTTTTTTCCCCTCTAGTTTTTTTTTTTCGCTTCTCACATTCGATGGATAGAACACGTGCACGTGTTCACTATTTTTTGATGTCACTGCTTTCAATGAAAACCCCTTCCCCGCAACCCGAAGCAGTTCATGAAGCCGGAAAAATGATATTCATTCCATTCGGATGAGAAATTCAATCGAAATGTTTTCAAAACTTGTCATGAATACTTTAGAATTTCATTATCATTTTTTAATTATCCCAATACTTCATTATTTTCATCATTATGATAATGACGATTTTTTTGAGTTCTTTCAGTGATTCCTGCAATTCAAACAGATATTAATCGATATTCAATTCGATATTCAATTCGATATTCAATTCGATTTATTCCATTTATTCTCGTCCTACTGATTTAATCGTCCCGAAACTATTGATTATGTTGATTTTATCGGAAAATAAGAAAATACCGATTTCGTGGGAAATTTAATGAGCTACAAAAAAGTTCCATAAGATTTATCCGTGAAGTCGATAGTTTTCGAGATAAATCGATAAGTACTGAAGACGGAGAATTCCCACCGACGGCGACTGATAACGAGTCATAAATAATTCACATTTTATTCACCCCGAATTCTTGGTCTCGGCATTCGTCGTGCTTTTAACTTGGAGAATAAAAATTTTGTATTCTCCAGAACTAGGGTATTTTAGTCGGTATGACAAGACTTGGAATTTCATTATGCCCTCGGGTGTTAAATATTTCTCGCCCCCAAAGCTTCTTTCTCCGAGCTTTTTCCGGCGTTTTATATTTTCACAACCGTAAATTCACTGTACGAGGACACTTATTTTTTATCCCGGTGCCCACATGCGTTTCGAATAAATTCATTTTCCTCTAATTAACAAAATTAAGAGAGAATAAATTCAGCGATTGAGCTCCAACCGTATAAAAATGATTTATTCAGAACTTTATGAAAAATTGATGATCAATCCAGGCAAATGTAATTGACATTTTTCCAATCAATTCATGATCATTTTTTTGCTGTTCAACTAGGCCGTCCGATTGTCCAATGATTTAATGAATTATTTTTTCATTTTCAGAATCAAAAGTTCTCGCTCAATCGCTCAATTAAAAATAAAAGTTGAGAGATTGTTAATCGCAGCCGCAAATCTAGCAACGCCTTCAATACACTCGGCAATTGAAATTGTCGACAGTGAGAACTATAACATGTACTCTATTCGAAAAAAATAAAAATACATTACTGGTGCGCAAAAAAAACCGTCGTATTCTCACGTGACGTTAATTACTTCGCATTTCACCTCCAAAGCTCAAGTGAAGAAAAAACATAACAACAAATGAGTATTTTCTTTACACGTAACAGAAATAAATAGAAAAGCGTCAACACGAGTGCCACATGATACAAAAAAAAAAGTAAAGAAAAACATTGAGAAAAAATTAATTGACTGAGGAAAATATTTTCGAGTTATTCAGAAGTTATGAAAAGTTAAACCTCAATGTTTTATTATTCCTGCGTGTATCTCCCAAGCGGTTAATTTTCAGGAAAAATGTCATAAATGCTTTTTTGTAGCTGACGAAATTCCAAAGAGAATATTTCATCTGACTTTTTCCCGTAAATATACTCATTACCGAGATACATCGATTTGAAAAAAAAAATTGAGATTATCTTTTCAATTTTCACTACTGGATCAACGAAAATAATTGAAATAAATGATAATTGTTAATAAAAAAGACAAAATGCACCCTTGATAGTAAACATCTGTACAAATAACGTGTGAATGAAATTCGTGAGAGAGCGGGCAGTGCGAGTTTCTTCATAATCATTAATTTCCTATTTTTAAGGATTTCTTATCCATTCAGTAATTTGTTTATTAATTTCTGTCTTTGTTTTCTTAATTTCTTTTTTTTCGCATATTCTTACCTTTGTGGGGTACACTTTGGACGTGAGGGTGAGGGTCCTCCTCAGTGTCCTCAGTTTTGCCCAGTACAACTCTCACTTTCACGAGACATCGAGAGAGATGAATTTAATATTTCAATCACATTCTGAATTTTCAATAATGAAAAATTATCCTCGCTCGCTCGCTCTCTTCGAAACGAGATATCTCTTTGTCATAATGATTTCTCATCTCTCTCTTATAATCTCGAAACAATTCAATCGCCCTCGCGAGATGCTCTACAAAGGGACAATAAGAGATTTTTTCTTTTGTAAAATCCAATTTCATCTCCTTTTTTTTTAATTTCTTAGATTTAGTACGGGCCTACGATTTATCCGAGTGCTAGAGTACTATTGTGTCTATGGATTATACAAAAGTCCACAGCAACGCCAGAAATTTTTTTCTCCAAGTAGATTCACTGATTTCCTAAAAATCTACTCAGGGTTACATCTACGAAAGACGAATCTACCGTGTGAAAATGTTTATAACAATTCTGTAGTTTAATATTGGGATGAAGATTTGCAAACTGTGGACTTTTGCACCTTTACACATCCAGAAAAATCACAAAAAAAAATCTACTTTCTCTACGATTCCATAAGAATTCTCTAAATCCTATAATTTTTTGCAATTTTTCCTCCCAGCCAATAATTACCAAGAAATTTAAATTTCCCGATAATCATCGATCCATCAAAATTAAACCAATCTAATCAATTAAAATTAATCAATAAAATACATACAAGCAAGGACGCGTGCACGTGTTAAGGTCGTGCAGGCGCCAGTGCTTCAAACCTGTGAAATACAAATAAAACGAAAAATATATAAATTAAATTAACAATATTCTCTTTTCCTTCAATTAAAATTATAATTAAAATGAATGAATGGATGAATCCTTATATTATATATAAATGTATTATGTATCATGTAAATGTAAAAAAAAAATTAGATTTAAATATATTTATAAGTAATAAGAAAAAAGTAATTTTTTTTTCATGCACACCTCAATCTTTCTGCCCTCAACCACGGTGCCGTGTAGCCTCTCACGTGCCTGGTCCGCATGGGCACTATTCGCGAATGTTACAAAACCGAATCCCTGCATGCAAGGACAGACAAAACAACATGCATTAAACTCAACTTACAGACTCTGCCACGCTCGACGGGGCACGTCCCGCCGACAACTATTAAATATTACCATTTTTTTTTCTCAACTTGTGTGTTCTGTCAGTAATAGTATCATGAACTTGAGTGAATCATCGATTTTTGTGTAATTCATTGACTCCATTTTGTGTAAAAAAATAATAATCATTTCTTTTTTTTTTTTTCATAATTTTTAAGCTGAAAATCTCAGATCGAGGGAAACTCCAAATTCTTATTTTTGAGATTTTTTTTTTGGGATCGGAGACCCGTGAGAGATTGGACGGCCATTTTGTCGACATTCAATGTTGATGGGGTAGAAAACGGTTCGGCCCTGGCCACCATTTTGATTCACTTGATCCGGAGGTAATGGAGGACAACCTGCGCAGGAGACAACTGCGACTCTCGGTGCGCAGAGCTCTCCATTTTCCTCGTGAACCCGTGAATCAAAATGGCCGACTTCATCCAGCAATTTTTTTGTCGTACACATCAGTCTCCCATGGGTTCCGTATATTGTGAATTTTTTCCCCGCCACTTCCCTCGATCGGCGAATTAATTTCCACTCGTTAGGGTTAATGATCTTCATCCCTCCTGAACAACACATTTGTGAAAACGAAATAAAGAATTATATATCTCACTCCGTTAGTGATAGAGAAGAAAACCAGAAGAGATTCATTTGCCTACGACACGGGCTCTTGCTCTTTATCTAGTCCCTCCTTTCATTATTTTTTTTTTCTCGTTATTCCACTCATTTTCCGTCATGCTCATGGACAATGAGTGTCTGGGGGGTTTGAGGGTTGCACGGATAATTAAATCGTCGGACCCAAGAACGATGAAAGACGAGATGTTGAAGAGAGACGGTAGGGCATTCACTTTTCACTGCAACTACTACATCCTTTTGTCATACCCTGACGGAGAGGATAAGTGAAATAGAGTGATGACTCATTTTCTCTGCGTCGGGCTTTCGAGCCTTTCAAATGCAGAGAATGGACCGGTGATTGGACGATAAATCAATTCTCATGGTAAGTTCAAATGCAAATTTATTTCAAAAACAACAAAAATAAACTAAAATAAAAGAAATAAAAAATTATGAGAGCTTGAATTTTTTTTTCCTATTGATATTTTCAACTAACAAATTCAATGAAATACCGATAAAAACGTTTGAGAGATCGAACGTCAGGGGCGCAAAGTGCTTTTACCCCTAAACGAATTGGTTAAGGTTTGCCCTGGATATATGTTGGCGGAGGGTATGTCAATTGAGTCCAGAAGTGTGGAAAAGAGATGGGCGAGTGTACGTACGTTAGAGAAAAGGGAATACGAAGATAATCGAGTTTTCGAGAGGATGAGGGGTGAGAGGCCGCCATCGGTAGTTACGACTCCCTTGGACGGTTGCAGAAATTGCGTTACTCAACGGGGGGATGAAATGGGGTAGTAAAAAAAAATATTGCTGATAAATCAATTCACGGGGTTTTTACGAGTTCTTCTACTGTTTTATTTTCTTTCTTTTTTCCATTTTTAATTGGGTTGATGGAAATGAAGGAAATTGTTCGTTATGGACAGGTTTTTTTTTTTTTTCAGTGCTGTAAATTCATCGGCAAGATTCGTTTGAATATGGGGTGGAGTAATTTTTGTGGTATTTTGGCAAAATGGTGGATTTTCTTTTTTCTCACTTTATCCCACTACCGCGAATATCTACCGAGATAACACGTGAAAATTAAACTAGATCACGTGAATTTATTTGAACTAGTCGATCGATTCTCAAAATAACCGGAATTATTCATCAATGTGGGAGTGAATAATGTTTTCCCATGAACAGATGGCTCTCCACTATTTTTTTAAAACCCAAGGTGAAAGAGAACCATTAATTGACGGTGTGTTTGCACGGGAGTGCAGATTAAAGGAGTTGCAAGGGAAAAAAAAATAACGAAACGTTTATGTAAAATAGATGGGGTGCTTTTGCCTTTGAGACCCTGGGTAAAGCCCCGAGAAGTTGCACCAGAGACTGAGGTGCACCTTTTGCTCAACGACAATGTTATTTAGACACCGTTAATCGAAATACCTGCGGCCCTTTGTGTCAACGACAGTGTCGTAAACTCATTCATTTTATTATTCTCTTTTCCCTAACTAAACAAAAAAAAAAAAATCTCTTGTCCGCTATTTTTTGTTTAACTCTTGCGTCAAGTGGACTAATTGCCGGGACTTGAAAAAATTCTCTTTGTCCGGAGTTTTTTTTTCAGGTAAAAAAAAAACGAGAAATTAACAAAGGGCGAATTTAGGGGAAAATCGGGGGTTATTTTTTTTTTCAGGATAAATTCGCGATTTTATTTTATTTCTTCAACCTGCGGTTATTTTCGTCAACTTCGACACGGTCTGGGGCGAGTCGTATCGATAATTAAAGTGTACCAATTGCGATTAAATCATTTGACACACGCGAGGTGATGTTTTTTTTTATTTTTTTTTTTTTTCGCTATCAAGGGTTCTTCGTCGGGTAATTACGGAGCGGAATGAATGGGTCTGAGGGTGAAAGAGGGAAAAAAGGGGAGACGAGATAAAGAGCTTGACATCTGGGTTATTGACCGATCCTGCAAACAATGAAATTTTTCAACTTGAATATTTGAAGGGACAAATTAATCTCTCTGGCTTTCTCGTGTTTTCAGTGTTTCATTGTGTGAATTGTTATTTGCGAAATAAAATAATAATTTTAATAATGGGGAGCCTCAACCGTACTTGCCGCCCCTTCAGAAATTTCAAGAGCCCTCCATTTTATTTTTATTCTATTAGATTGTTGTCGAATGTAAATTATCGTGTTGATTAATTAATCCATTAAATTACACTTGAACAATCCATTGTTGTGTGTAAAATGATAAAAACCGGAATTAAAAAAAAAAAAAAACATTGGCTTCACATAAATTTTTCACATTTTTCCAAATTTTCTGCTCCCGAGAACTCCCGAGGTATCCGATAAAATAGAAAATGATGAAAAATGGAGTGGGAATTGGGGAGGAAAAAATTCTCGGGTACCGAGAATATCAATAAAAATTCATTGAAAAAATGTCGGTCATCCGTGGGATCGAACGTGACAACGTCCGCATGAATATAATATGGTGATACAGATATTCAATAATAATGTGACGTTAAAAAAAGGTAATAATTAAAAAAAAAAATTGCAACGAGAGAAAAAATAAAAATAAAAAACCAATGGCGTGTACAAAACTAATCATGTAAATTTGTCTGGTCATAATTTCCATATCAATTCACATTATTTACTTGATTGTGTCTGCCGAATGTTAAACGGGTGAATGAGATAAATAAAAAGCCAGCCTCTATCTAAACACATACGGTGAGTGGTAATAGAGAAAGATATAATGAAAGCGTATAAAATGTAAATGTATGTTCTCATCAATTCCGTTCAAATTAATAAACAATAATAATAGAAATTAATAACCCGTTATTCACCTAAACGTAAGCGTGCGTCTACTATTTACATACAATAATTCACTTTATTACTTCCTTGGATGGAATATTTTTTTTCAATATATTTTTCTTGTGTTTTGTGGTGTGTCAGTGTCACTTATGCGTATTAATTGTCTCGATCAAAAACAATTAGAGTTGACGATGCAATAATTTATCTCATGCTCTTTATTCCAATTGCAAATATGTGGAGAATCTATTATTTTTCATGACTTTTACTTTCTGATTCAGGTGCCTTGAAATTTCTTGAGTTATTAAGTTTTTAGGACGACAGAGTCGGGTAGAGCTTGCAAATATATTATTATATTCGTAAATAAAATGGAATAAATTGTTTTATTTTTTTTAATATTTTCAGAGAATTTAATGTCGTCATTTTGACAGCAGCTCGAGTCTTCTGATTGCGATTCTGTGGCTGATTTAGTGAAACTCTGAGAAATATTTGTTTCATTTGATCGATTTGTTTTTATTTTTTAATTGTAGGAATCAATGCGAGACAAAAATCAACTAGAATAATTAATGAAGATGCGGAAGGCTTCAGTTCTAGCTAAAATGCAACAGCTCGTTCTAATAAAAACTACGGAATTGGGGAAAACACAGTTTGTTATTCTTTCATTTGTCATAAGAAAATAAAATCGCCGATTATTTTTTTTGGAATTCAAAACGCGGAGCTGATACTGGTGCAATAATTAATTGTTACAAGGGTCATTCACGTGGATAACATCTTTAAAAAAAATGAGAAAAAACAACTAAAAAAATTGACAATTGAAAAATAAAAAATGTTATCACCTCGGAATTTCCAGTAAATTAAAGATCTCTATATCTGACTCATCAATAATTATTGAAAACATTAAAAAATATATGAAAAAAAAAACCACAGAAAAAGAATAACTCCAAAGTTGGTGTCACGTTTTAAAAAAGTGTATAAACTCTCTGAATGGTAAAAAAAAAATTTGCATCACGTTTTCTCTTTCAAAAAACTTCCAAAATGCTGCACTTCATATTAGGGATGCGACATTCCATTTACATTGACGAAGCCTTTCGAGAGTAATATCAGCCTCTTAAGTTTTTGTTCAAAAAAACATTGAAGAAAAAAAAAGGAAAAATAAAATATTTAGATTTTCTCATGAATTTTTGATTTACGGCTAAAGCACAGTGCTTTTACAAAATTTAAGACACTACCCGTCAAGTCTAGCTTGGCGTATCAAATAAATATATAATATAACGACATGGGTGTTTAGTATATTGTGTACGTGTGGTGTTGTTTAATTGTGTGATGTAACATTTGCAGAAGCAATATGGTGACTGAGAAATGATTAAAATGACGAGATGAGGGAGAAAAATCGGTTGTCACTGTGATGTTTACCAACAAATTAATCTACTACATGAAGACAAAAACAACAAGTGTGTACTATCAAAAGTGTAAGTCTCAGACGATAAAACTCTACCGAAAGTCATCAGCTCTACCGACAGATTAAATCGACAAGAAATTAAGAATTGCAATAACAATCAACACTCGATATTTCATGTCCACTCAATGTTTTCGAGTAAATATAACAAGTAAATGCGATCTACCGGTAGATAATTCATAAATGCGTCAATCGGTGGAGTTGTTGTTGAATAGAGAACTCACAATATTGATTGTTTTGTCTGCTAATGGGTAGAGTTGGCTGATTCATCTTAATCTCTTACCAATTTTTCATTAAAATGATTTTCCTGCCTCATTTCTCTTAAAAATCTATCCTTACATCTACAAAAACATGAAAGCGCTGGCAACAATCTTCCATATCGACATCTAGAGTACAAACATCATTTGTATTCCCCCCGGCCTCGGGTAGACGGTGAATTGCAATGAGAGTACGAATAAATATTCCATTTCTCTCTACTTTTTCTTGAAAACTCTACCACTCCATCTACCATCGATCTGCATCTCGTGCTAAACCTCAAGAAAAATCGCGAAGATTCCACAATCGAGATCAGTCGAAATGATCGGCAATTATTCCCAACAATTCACCACGCGATAAAACAATGGAGAATTGCAAAAAGGAGGTCGATGTGAAATCAAGAGGGTGAAAGAAAAAGGGGGATAAAAACGGAAAAGAAGTGTGGAAAATACCAGTCATGAAGATATCGATCAGCTGCATAAGTGCGAATATTTGGATTATGGAGCTTAATTAATCCCATATCGAGACTGTGAGGGTCATCCGGAAACTGAAAATGGCCCGCTACCACCCTCCACCCCCTCTCACACAGCTGGTACTAAACTCTACCCCCCGGCCAAAAATCCACTGCCTCGTGAAAACGCCTCTGTCCTTCCTCAGTGCATTCTATCTCCACCCACCCTCAAACCCCTCGACTCCATGGCCTAAAGCCTTCCACCCGGAGACGTGATTGGTAGTTACGATGGCGGATGTGACACGCGAGGTGAACTTCCGGCATGAAACGCCCGGTGAGTTGAGCGAGGCTCGTACGTTGTTGGACATGGATTCAACCGATCACGAGGTCGAATTCGAATGAATGATATTGAGATTTTTTTTTATCGAGTGGGGGGGGAGAAGGTTGAGTTACGACTCTACACGGATTTACGGATACCTTGATGGCGAAGCATCTCTTAGTTAATTTTTATTACTGCGGAATAAAGTGAATTAATGATATTGAGAAAAAAAAAAATTGATTTCCTCATTATCTCGAAAACTACCGCTTCAAATAAGACCATTTTTTTTTTAACTAACCGTAAATTTTTCGGTCTATCAACTCCCGTAATTCCGTTATTTCTCCCTGAATGGCATTATCCAGAATAATTGCCAATTAATTTGACAATGTAATATTGTGAATTGAAAAATATGTCTACGTATTTTGTTTGGTCGAGGGGTCAATTTGTATCGAACGCTGATCGATTCTAATTATAAAATCGGTCACAGGCGATTTAATTAACAACAAACACGATGAGTGGGGGGTGAATTTGAGAGTCACAGGTGGGGTAATGGCGACAGTGCTGAATATGTAAGCTCACCCGGATGCCGCACGTCACCGAGATGTATTACTGCGGATCTTATCCAAATATACCCCACCAACTTACAACCGCCCCCTAGCATTTTCACCCCCCGAGGCCTGTCATCCATTATTGAGAGACATTAGCATTTCAAACACGACATTTTTTTTATTTCATGTCGTCAGTAATTCCATGACTCTTTCTTTTAACAATCTCTCTTTCGTCATATCATTGTTTTACCGAGAGAGTGTTGCCAACGCGCTGAAAATAATCTTTAGGTAACAACTGAACAGTGGTATCACAGGATAACCCTCGAAAGATAGAACATTTCCGAGAATTCTTTTTAGATCCCCTGAGACAGTCTTTCATCCTCTGGTGAGAATGACGGCGGGGGAAAAAAATCCCTGAAATAGTGGATAAAAAGGGGAAAAAAAGTTTTAACGACGTGGCCAGTAACTTCTGGCCCGAGGGCGATCCTGCGAAACAATTACGTCTGCCCCAGTATCTCGTCCTCTCAATGTATCAAGGACCCCAGGATGTCGCTCCTAGAAAAGTCCCCCAAAGTTTGCCAATAAAGAACTTATTCGTTAAATAAATGCAACAAGATCGCTAACAAGTTTCATTCGCTCTCTAATTATTTTTAATTAATTCCAGGACCTCTTTTTCTCTTTTTCTTCAATTTTCCTCATCGAGATGAGGAGGAAAAACCCATTAATAACCCGAGAAATTTTGCTGTGAAAGTTTGAAGGGATAAATTCGCTCGTCAAATGAATTTTCGTTCAATTAAATTCAGGGGTTAGTTTTTTTTTCAATTGGAGGGGGTAAAAGTCTTTGAGGTGAATTCACTGGGGGTTAAGTGCAAGACTCAACAGTTACCTCTGGACTCACTGAGTTTTCTATTTATTTTTCCTTCGCCTTTTTATTTAAACTTTATTCTTGCACTCTTCAAGTAACTTGGACTTGCAGAGATACGATCAAGTTTTATTTTTGTCTAGTACCGAGAAAAGGGGGTGAAAGAACATGAAGGGAGACGTTTCGGACTTGGCAAATCGGGAAAAGTGGATAACTGAACGATTCTGATAGAATCTAGTGGTCAATCGACATCCTGGGAGGAGATATTGGAGCAGATTATCATTTTTTTTTTTCAGAGGTCAATCGATTTTGCTGAGAATATTGCTTACCTTGCTGCCACGCTCATTAAAAATAATCTCGACATCCAGTATTGGACCGTATTGCTGCAAAAAAAAAAATAGGGATTCACTTGCTGCACAGATTTTTGCGCAAACTAATCCTTCAGTCACCGACAGAAGAATTCGCTTGTATTAAATACATATTCGGTGGATTTAACTACAATTATTGTTGATTGAATAAAGTATAATTTCTTAGACAGTGAAAAAATTACTGGTTGTAATTAATTGCAATTGCAAAATAAAAAATTGACTTATAGTGGGATATTTTTGTGATACTTACACCAAACATTGCTCTTAGATCAGGATCTCTGAACCTGAATGGTATATTACTGACGTGAAGTCGTTTGGGTTGCCCTTTGAGATCAGTACCCTGTGTGACAGTGGAAGGTGTCGTTGTACCCGATGTTACTGGCACCATATTGTTGCCCTCAACACCAGTGTCTTGACTCGTTTCATTGCCTCCAGATGATGCTGGTGCTGTCTGTTGACCACTGCTGTTAGCTGCTGCTGCTGCTGCTGCTGCCACTGCTGCCTGAAATACCTCCGACTGGAACACAAATCAAACGAAATTGTTCAAATAAATTCTTCAAGTCCACGAAAATCCCCCCAGAGCCTATTTGTTACACAACCCTCTCAACGTAAATAGTTTTGAAGATTTTGTAATATAAAAAGGAGAAAGGAAATCGATCTCGAAATATCTCAAAATATCTCGAATGACTTTAAGGGCAATTATAAATATAATGTAATAATATAAAAGGTAATATAAGGGTAAGTAAATGGATTTGGCGTGCGGGTGGGGGGCGAGAATATTTAGAAAACAAAAAAATCGTCAGATATTTAGAAAATCGTGAAAATTTGAGAATTGTTGCGAAAACGGATGGAGGCTGCAAATTATTGGATCATTTTTCATGATTTAATTTTCAATCTTTGATTGTGATTTAATTGATGATTTACTTCCTTTCCTTTTATAAAGAAGGGAAAGAAAATCGATCTCGAAATATCTCGAATGACCGCAAGGATAAGACCCCTAGGAGTTTTAGACTTCAGTGATTTTTCCAGGAATCTAGAGACTAAAAATTTAAATTCATTCTTTTTGCGGAACGAACAACAATAATATTAGAATTGATTAAATCTCCGATGACTTTGAATTCATGAATAAAATGAAACATAAAAATAAATTAATAAAAAATTTCCAATCCGAGAAACGGAAAACTCATGAATAAATCAATGAGAAAAAAAATCTTGAGTAAAAAGTTGAGCTACCGTTAATCCCAAGTCGCAAATAGTGAGAAACTTGGTGAAATCTTCTCTCACTCCAGCAATAATTATTTTCCCCACCAAAAAATCCACATTCCCAATGATTAACCGAGTAATTAAATTATCTCCCCCTCCTGTTTCTATTTCTTCTCTCTCTCACTGGTGTGAATTCACGATTCCACGCGGAATAATTTCCTTCATCCCCTAATTGCCGAGTTAAAATACGTTTGAGTGTGGGCAAGAGGGTGAAGTCGGTTCGGGAGGGGTAGTTTGTTGAAACTTTGTGAAATATTCCACGGTTGGTTGAACTTTTCCACGAATTTTGGTCTAATAATTCCAACCGAGCATTTGCTACTCTACATTTTTTTCTTCTCAGTTTAACATAACTGAAGTTAACTTTTTACTTCTCACAAGGAAGCCGTTTTTCCCCCCAGACTCCAACTTTGAACCTCAAATTTTTCCACTTTAATCTTGGGCATTTGTTCCCTCTGAACCAAAAAAAGGGAAAAAATAAATTAAATAACGAGGCAAAAGAACAAAAAACAAGGGTGACGAAGGGTGGAGAGATTGATTCACCTTTTTCCTCCGGTGTAGAAATTTTTTACTTTTGTCCCAATTAGTTATTCGTGATTTGCACGAGTTTCCCCGGATGTATTAGGATGAAAAAGAAATAAAATGTAACGGGACGGAGACAGGGAGATTGAGTGCACCAGGAGTTGAATACGTAAAGCGAAATGTTTTCCATGGGGATTGCCAAACGTAAAAATGGCAATGTATTTGTGCTAAGCTTCTTCGTTGTTTCTAGGATACTTTGTACCGGTGGGGAATATTCAGCTCGCGTATACCAATGACTGGCACTTAGGGGTGATCGGAAAACGAGACAGATGCGTTTGAATATCAAATGGGGGATTGTACTATTTTTTATTTTACTCTTGCATTTTATCCCAGTGCATTCCGATTTTCGTATGTACACCGTGTATCAGAGTAGTTGGACGTTAAAAAATCATGTGTAAAAGTCAAAGTAAAAAGTCAAAGTAAAAAGTTAAAGTCAAGCATTAGTCCTCCAGGAAAAAGAATATAAATAAATAATCGAGAATGACTTAATGAAAAAGAGATAGAGTCAATTCGAATGAAATTGAATATCTTCATTCATCGTCTGCAATCACTAATTCCTCAACACAAATATTCAGTCTCTCTCTGTTTCTTTCTTATCGAATACTCTCAAAACACCTTGCATAATCTCCAATTCCATCTCCGGTTCAAGTACAACCACAATCAATAATACAGGAAACTAAATAAACGAATAAAGTGAATTAGAAGTCGAAAAAGGAAATACCTCAACGAAAGCCCCTCTTCTAGCGCAAATAGAATACGTAGAGTTCCTTACGCACATGACGACGACAAAATAGATAAATAACAAGTACTGTAATAACAATAACCAATTTTGCCACAGATGTATTGCGCCCGAGTTATTATACGACTCAAAATGAAGAAGATGCGAAATAATTTCGTTTTTTGGTAAATTTTCAGAGAATTTAATTACAATCAATTATAATATATTAATTATTAATTTAAGCAAATAATTTTTTCCAGAATATTTTTCCCCGAGTGAATGAATCCGGACAGGCATTTTTGGAGTTCAATTCAGAAAAATTTCCGGTAAATCAATTGAAATTGAATCCATGATTTTAAGCTGAGCAAACGCAGGGGTTCATTAGCGAAGACAGAAAAAAATCCCACGAAATGTTACCGAGGGTTAAAAGACTTGATTGAACCCTCAAATATTTATCCCGGGGTTTCCCTCAAACGTGCGCCATTTGTACGTTTCTCTATTTACTTTATATAACGATTTTTTTTTTACTTCTGCTGTATCCTTTTTTCACGTGTTCTGGTCGTCTCAGGAACGGACAACAACACGCCGAGTGTTTCTACGGGGTTACGTGAACGGAATGAGGATCGTGAAAATGCACCCTGGAGGCTACGTGTGTTTTCACCCCCTTTTCACCCCTCGACAGTACTGTTTTAACGTGAAAAGAGAGAATGGCTTCTTCCTTTTATCGTTTCTACCTTTTTTACCCCTCATGAAATTCCTCTTTTGCTCCATTTTCAGGGGTTGAAAGGAGCATTCTTGGAGGTTGGCAATGATGAGTTTAATGGAATAAATGAGTGGAGCACTTTGAGAGAAATTATTCTAATTTTTATGGTTTTTCGATCCTTTCCTCACTTTTTCCCCAAAAGGTGGATTAAAAACGTTTTTGCATAGATCAAAAAACTTACGACGATATTATGAAATTAATATATTAATGTTAAGATAAGATTGTGGTTTTTTTAAATCAATTTGTGTTTTGTCAATTGAAAGATCTCAGGGAAACGCGTGAATTAATGAATTGCCTTTAGAAAATGAAAATAAAGTTGTTTAAATAATCAATTATCAAGAGAATTTATAATTTATCCGTGTTCTTCTCGTGGGAGAGTCTGAGGGTGCATTTGCCGGTGGTATCTTAACCATTCCGTTGAATTAAACATTTTGCTTTTACTCGGGGCAATGCCAATCCGAATGAAAATCCACCTTTCCGACTTATATACGTGTATATACAAATGCAGTATGGTAATTCGTCGGGTTTTGGATGCACGCCTGTGCTAAATAAATTTTGCACCTGAAGGGAGAGAGAGGGATGAATAAAAAAAAATGAGAGAAAATGGAAAATATATAGAGGCGCATAAAACCGAGGGTAGTTATGGAAAATAAGGGAAAAAGCCTAGAGTGAGTTCAGAATTAGGGCGTGGCAGTGAGATCGGTTCGATTATCGAAGGGACGTGAAGTTACTCGACTTGAATCACTACTTTTTTTCTATTCCTCAAACTTGATTGAACTCAAAGACAACTTGATTTCACATTCAAGTTTTGAATAAAGTCGAGAGACTCCACCTAATACGATTTAACAAGCATCTCTTCATCATCTCTTCATGCTGATATTAAAATGATAATCAACTCACGATAGCCTGTTGGTCAACGCCATTGGGTGGTGGTGGTGGACTGAAACTCGTGGCATTGGGTGCTCCAGGTGCAGTCGGATGCTGGGCACCCTGTGTCGATTGTACCTGTGGTACCCCAGGTGTTTGTTGCTGCTGTGCCCCAGTGGATTCCTCCTTGGGTGGAACCGGTGGTGGTGGTTTAACATCACCAGTTGATCCAGCTGTACCCACTACCCCAGTTACACCATTAACAGGGGGTGGAAATACACCCCCACCGTAAGGCGCAGCCATACCTGTCTGCACCACGTGCTGAAACAAAAATTATCAAAATATATTTCATGAATTTTAACCGTGGTCAATTGAACGATCAAGGCTACGACTATTTCAACAGTTTAATTCCACCGAAAACATTAATTCTCCCCTGAAATAGTTTGATTACCCCCCCTCTCTCTTTCCCCACTTATTCTCCCCCCCCCCCCTCCCGAAGTTATTAAGTGTGTAAATAGAGCAATTGAATACAAATTGATGTGAACAGTCGGCCATTTTGGGTATATCGAGAAGGAGTGGACTGGAATATTTAAAGGCATTCACAGCCACCGGAAGCATATCTCGAGGCTTTGGATGGGGAAGGGCCAGTCGATAATTATCCCAGGCCATTATCCACTCGGCGTTTCGCACCGGTGAGAATTGAAAGCGAGAGGGTGGCAATGGGAGGGTAGAATGCAAACACGAGCCGAGAGGGTCCGTGACTGTTTTACCCCCGCGTGTCGTACTCTTATCACCAACTACAACGATTTAGAAAGTTACCACTGAGAGAGAGGACATTCGTGGTGGTAGATTAGAGAAACTCCAAACAAGGGTTATTCGTTATTACAGCGGACGTTACCTTTCTCCATATCTTCGGGACATTTATTTGGAAGTTATTTTGAAACTTGACTTGAAAAATTTTTAGGCGAGATAGGGGAGAGGCCGTACGATAAGTCGCGATAAGTTGTGCAGATTTTTTCTCGATGCAAAAATGATTTTTCGAGGGAAATTGATCAGAAATGAAGGAAAAGATGGTGGTGACGTTAGAATGCACTTCGGGGGGTGAAAAATCATTTTGGAAGTTTAAAAATCACAGCCAGTTGACGCATTTCATGGTATAAATAGAAAAAAAGAATCTCCCAACCTCGCACGCTCTTGCAATGCTGCAGGGTTAATTTCGTAAGTTTCGATTTTCTTATCTCTCCTGCATTGAATTATTTACATACTCTTATTTTATCTCCATTTAACTCCCTCGTTTCGCATTCTAACAGCACAAAAATACTCGAATCAGCCCCCCAGTGAGACGAGTGGAATGGCGTAGGGCCAAAAATTCCAAACTCGAGAAGGGAAGAAAAAAAAAATGAGAATTTTAAGATTGGGAATTGGCACAAGTCTGACGAGTGGCGAACCTCAAATATTCAACGATTCTCCACAAAAATTTGAATGATTTATCTGGAAATGTTAAATAAAACATCAGACAAAAAAAATATATAAACTTGTAATAATTAATTTTCGATATGAAATCGAAACTATTAAATGGTGTCAGCAATTTCTCATCTCACTCCACAGCAATTGTTAATTAATTCCGTGATAATCAGACATAAATGTCGAGCGGAAGTCGTACGTCAACACCCTAATGGAATTACCATTAACATCGGTATCCAAAGCGTGCAGTTCCTCACTTTATTAATACTAAAAGTAAAGAATTCAATCTCAATTTTGTTACGTAAAAAGTGAGAAGAAGAAAAAGAGTTGAAGCACTCGTCGATGTGAGAAAAGGTCTTTCAGTCACGTTTCCCCTCGAGACAAAATTTTTTTTTTGAGTTATCAGTAATGAAAGGAGAGAATTCCAGAGTCCACGAGAGCCCTCGGAGTGTCACAAGACCTCACACCAGCCCCTCGAGAGGTCTTCGGTACAAATTAAACAGTGAAATTTCCTTCTACCGAGATGAGTGCAGCATAAAATTCGTACTTCATTAGGTGAGCAACTGCTGGGTGTATAATTCTGTCATTAGTATCCGCTGTATAAAATTAATTTATTCAGGGAATAATTTAATGATCGTGAGTATGACCTGTTATTTGATTAAACGATAATTTTCATCCTCTTGAGTAATGAAAATGAAAACAGAAAATAGATCAAACGTAATCTGATTAAAAATAATCGTTTTATTATAGTCTCGTCAGGCAAAAATTGAAAATTTTTTTCTGAAGTCAATCTACCAATTTCCGGTAGTTTTTATAATCCCCAAAATGGGGTTTAGAGCAGGAAACGTAAAACCCGGCATTGGGTAGACATTCCGTCGCACTGAATTCATTCTTCACCCGCTGTTTAAACCCAAAAGACACGAAAATAAAAGGAGATAACTCTCGTTGAATGATTATTCAGGACACAGACACGATGGTTGAAATAAAAGTAGAGTGGGGGGTACACAGAGCGTATCAAAATGGAAAGGCATATTATTCCATTGTCGCTCCACCTCGTACATGGAGTGTGCTCTACCATGCTTGTCACTGACATGTTCCGTTGATATGCCACTGGATGGGATTTTTTTTTCATTTTTTTTTTTGTATTCCAGAGAAGGGCTGAGTAGGGCTGTAAGTTATGCAGAGTGAATAATTGATTGGAAGTACCGGACATTTGCAATCGAAGAAAAAGGGAATAAATTGTACGGAAAAAAAAATTGGCCAATGGCGTCTTCGGAAATCGATGGTCGCGGTGAGATTTGGAAAAAGAATAAATTGGGATTTAGGGGGAATTGCAGTCCACTCTTTTTTTCACCAGTCGTTCATTCTTTTTTTTTTCTTTTTCAAGGTAGAGTTTTTTATTTCGCTCTCGAGTACTCGAATAGAGATGCTGGGGGATTAAAGGAGCGTTAATTCAGTCGTCTGCAAAAGGTTGTACGAGTGCATTCGAGACTCTCACGTGAACGTTAATGATCTTGCGGGTTGCAAAGCTCATCGCGAGAGTTTAAACATTTTGTGCGATAAAAAAATCATCAAAGTCCTTCGCGAAAATGCAACGAATGATTAAAAATAATTAAAAATAATCATCTAATAATTTTTTTAATTATTACAATTTCCACGAGAAAAACTTCCCCTCTATCTAAAACAAGCAACTATTAATTGATAATCATGCTGCACAATGAATCATCCCCAAATTCAATAATTACGACATCAATTTTCCTCCCGAATTAATTCAATAAAACTTGTGTACCCGAGACACGCCATTCGTATAATTTGAGGAGCTGAAGTGAGAGTTGAAGGTGTGGAATGAGGGGGTGGCTTCGCCCCCCTCTGCCCTTTTGAATCGCGGATGAAGGGACCACGGGGGAGGGGGAGGGGGGGGGGGGAAATTCTCACGAGTGCGTCCCCCGAAATTGCCAGAGGATGGGAATTCTAGAGGCAGGCGGGAAATCAAATTAACGGCGTCTACGTCCCGTTGGGTTAAACCGGCGAACTGCTGAAGTAAACCCCCTCCATCCCCCTTTAACTCCCCTCAACCAATCTGCCACCCACTACTTTTCCTCTTCTGTCGTTCGTCTTCGTCGTCTCTCGTCGCTTCTAGTTGCCTCTAGCTAAATACCCTAATTCATATTAATGGATGGCCCCCGACACCCATGCAAGTCTCATTCGTTTTAGGTGGGAGAGGAGGTAGGAGGGGGTAAGCGTGAGAACGAGAGAGGAAGGGCTGAAGGGTGGAAGAGGATTGGGACTGCTTTCAATCTCTCCTCAACGAGTTGAGATCTACGGTAGAGACATTGTTGAACTAATTAAAGAGCTCCATCGACAGGATTCCCAGTTAACGGGGAATTCCCTTTTGAGGGACTAGGGGGTGAAGGTGAGGGGATAATTGTTAATCAATATGGATTTGGATGATTTTCATGTTTGGGAGAAGGGAATTGCAGTTGGTAATTGAAATCTACAGAGGACCGATAAGATTAGTGGTTATGAGGTTTGAGAATTTGAATGTTCGCGGGGTTTAGTGGAATGGCGGGTGTTTCACGAAATGGCGGTGGTTAAGGGCAGAGTGGAATTTGAAAAAATTGACGTCTCTTTAAAGATCTTTGTTTTGCCTTTGAGATGAGGAGATTTAGTTAAAACTGCATAATATCGATTCTAGTGATTTTACGATATCTGAATTAGTTTAATTGCCTTGAATAACCGTAATGGAGTATGAAGTGGGCAATTATCGAATATTTCAAGCATGAAACGAGCGTCCCAACGATTACAATTAGACTCGTGTCATCCAATCTCAGTGCCTGCTCCTTCAGGAGAGTGTAAATCCACGTTGAATGTAAATACGCGGGTGATTAGTACCGAGTTGGACATTGTTCTATTCTGCACCCGAGATTTACAATGGGGTAGCGCAATGGATGGAAGTTGAAGGGTTGTGGGAGTGTTGGGAGGGGTAGAAATTGAGGCCATTGTTCTATCGAAAGTTACAGAGAGGGAGAGCATGTACGCTGGGGGGTTATCTCTTCTCGCGTGGATCTTCTAGCGTCTACTATAGGGGTCTCTGGGGGTGTTTAGACAGCCCCAGCCATATGTACACAAGCCTCTCTTTAACGAGAGTCGATTCAGACTCGACGGAAAAAAACTGTAGGTTGAAAAGAGAAAAAAAAAAATTGAATTACCGACTCGACCCCATTCGATGGTCCAATATTGATTCCCTTTAAACCGTGGGGTAAAATTGTCTAATTTCCACGAAACTTTTAATCCATTCTCAAATTTATGATGTTGAATAATAAATTTAAGACTCTCGGTTATATTAATTAATTATCAATCCTCGAGTGCGCTCTTGTTGCCAATGCATTCTAGCCCCAGGAATCGCGTGAGTCACGATACAAACGAAAAAAAATAAACCAACAAATACGATAGAGAAGAAAAAAAAAGTAATAAAATACACACAAATGTGCAACGAAGTATATGTTAACTGGTTTCCGTGTGCACAGAGCTTTACAGTTACGGTTTTTTCTTCTACCCTTTTATATCACTGTGTGAAACCACCCGCGTCGCTGCAGCAACGAGCCTATCTGTGTACCAGTCTCGTAAGTGGTACAAGAGCGAAAAATTCAACGGCAAATCGACCACGCCACACTGTAAAATCCCATCCTTGAATGTGTAAAAAATGATGGGTGAAAAAAAAAAAAAGAATTATTAAATGGTCGCGGGGTTTAATGCATCTGCATTTTTACTACGTTTCGCCCTTTTAACTCTAATTGCTTAATCCATTTCGACCATTACTCTATTAACCTGATTGAGTCATTAAACAAATTGACATT